ATCGGTCTTATTTATTTAAGTCAAGTCGCTTGGTAAAAAGTCAACGCACAAACAATGTTGTTGTAACGCAATAATTATCTCGTTCGCGTCTGAAGCGGATATAGTCATTGGCGATGTTTACTTCGCTTTATTCGCCTTGAGATCTTCATAAACTTTGTTGCAAATAGAAAGAATTGCTTTTTACTAAAGATCTAGAAAGCCAAGTTTTCTTTAAAAAATCTGAGCGATTGACATGATGAGTCTTTACGGCGTTGTTGTCGCACAATAACTCGTTTGCGTCTTAAGTTGTTATAGTCATTGGTGTCGATGTTCACCAATGTTCAAGCTTCTGTTTGATGTTCACCAATGTTCACCAGTGTTTTTTTTTTACTAAATATCATTTACTTTTCTGTATGTTTAACTTCTAATAAGTTGTATTGGATTGAGGACCAACTCGCCGACGTCTCTACTTTATACGTCGGCGAGTTGGTCCGTCGGCGAGTTGACTGGATACCCTTTATACCTTATCAGATTGCTCATATACCAACAATGTTGAGAGCCTTGTGTGAGGTTTAAAATTAATATGATAAGAATATAGAAGGAGACTTGGAAATCTTTAATGTCTCCAATCCTGTTTGACCTACATGCACAGACTCATGAAAACTGTTTCAACATTAATTCTTGTCTGTAAAGTAACTGTATGCAATGGACATTATGATTAATTTGTTGGGTTTTTTTTTAGTATCCAGATGGTATGACAATTGATTCAGAAGGAATGCTTTGGGTAGCTATGTATGATGGATGGAAAGTAAGCCAATCTTATACTCAAATATGTAGTAACAGAAGATAAAATATATATTTTTTTATCTATGGTGATTATGTTATACGTGTACTTGTGGTCCTGACCTTTGATCAGATTAATGTGCAATTGTTGTTAATTGTTCAAATGTATCTGAAATCAGTAGTCTCAGCCTTGAAGAAATGTTCACAAATGTAGATAATTTTAAGACAGTGGAAATTGTGAGATATCTTGACATTAGGCAGGGGCAGGGGGGGAGGGAGGTATCCAGTGACATGAAGAAGGGGAGGGTGTTCATATACATCTGCAAATAACATGAGGTTTCTATATCTCTGTCTCTTTATATTTAAGCCAACAGGTCTTTTTGATTTGGATTTCAAACAGTTTTCTTTTGTCAATGATTATTATAATGCCACTTCCAATAATTACTGGTACTGTACCCAGGTTTGGGGGCTTCTCATTATATAAGCTAAAATTGTAATTGTATCTGTATTTATTGTTTATAACCAGTAATATCGTCTTTCTCATCCCTTTTTATAAAGGTAGTGAGTTTCAACCCAGTCTCTGGTGCAATGCTTAGAAAAGTAGATATGCCTGTTGCCAAGGTGACATCTTGTTGTTGGGGTGGACCAAATCTAGATGAACTATTTGTTACATGTGAAAGGTACAGCATCCAACCACTTCTTACATGAAATTATTTTAAAATTAAGGTACATATTAAATAAAGAGTGATGCACATGTATAATATTTTGCCATTCTCTATCTTCTGTATAACTCTATTCTTTTCAAATTCTATTTATTTAGCTGAAAGTACACACAACTGTGATATTTATTGAATTTCTTTCTCTCCCTCTCTTCTACTGATAGAAAGTTCATTTCATGTAACATTTTATTCTCTTTTTAGCTTGAGGTTATCTCCAGAGGAAAAGAAAACTCAACCTCTGGCTGGGTCTGTATTCCGAATTAAGAATCTTGGGACACATGGATCACCAGCTAAAGCATTTGATGGTTGAAAAGAGTGCACTAATTTTGAAATAACGTATTCATTTGATTAAACGCCACCCTTGAATAAAGCCACTTTGAATAAATGCTGCATTTTAAAGAAGAAATATTAATAAATGTGGCCCTCAAATAAATTTTGCATCATGATGCAGCGTTTATTCTAATAAAATACTCAAATATCACACAACAATCAATGATTCAATTGCAATTAGAAATTTTGAGTGAACCAGACACAAATCCTTTTGAATGCACCAGTCCTGATGTTGAGAAAGTATATCCAACATTAGTTCTGTATTCACTTTTTGTATTGCAGTAGTTATATTAACATGCAAATTGTGAAATTGAGAACAGAAATAGGAAAGCATAGTGAGTTTCCTAGGGTTTCAGGGAAACCACATTATTTTACATTGAGAGGAGATATTCCACTTGATAAAGGAGTAATCACAATCATTTATTCAAAACTTTTGTGGCAAAATGAAACTCATTTGAGAGAGACTAAATTGTGCTAAACTAGACTTGTACATGTGCAAATGATCACTCACATGTTGGAGTATAAATAATGCAATTTTAGTCCAGTTCATTGTTCAAAGGGTGCACATCTGGTTTGAATTTTTTAAAAAATTAACTAAAATTTTAAGGATATTAATGAAAAATTATGAAATAAATATTTAATTCAAATCCCCCTTCTCAAATCACTAATAAGTATGTAATTGGTTTTTAATCAAATTATAAATAACTGTGATTTGGGATCCCTTCAGTTTTCATGCATTAGGAGTCTTCACCCTTTAACCCCTGAGTGACTGGCATCTTATTTCTCCCAACAGTTTAACCCCTGCATCACACAGTAAGGTCATGAGAATAAAGGAAATGATCACCAACTAAATTTTCTCTTGATTGATAAACAAATTCTCCTTGTCAGCACCTTAGGAATTATATAGAGAATAGTATGGAGAATATGCATACTGATGTTAGGGTGTAAAGGGTTAAGTATCACATACACATACACAGACACATGATCAGTTTAACAACTTCTTTGTCACTCTCTAATCTGTGGAAGAAGCAGTGGAAAAGCCAATGCTTTCGAAGCTAGTTGTCTCACTCTTTCCGCTCTTGTTGCACACCTTTTTAATGTAAACCAGCCTGGTTATAATTAGAAACATTTGGAATTCACAATCCACCTTTAATCATATATCTTTTATTATCACAACATAACTTTGTTTCTGTACTCCAAAAATTCTAAGAACAATTAACTTGTCATAAAACTATTCAACAACAGTGGAAAATTAACTTCTATATGCATGCCTGGAAATTCATGTCTGAACTTATGTTTACATGTAAAAAATTCAGTTGTTTATGACATGTTGGGAAAATAGCCTGGCATGTAATTTAACAAGCTGTTTTAATACTAATAATTTAGTTTGTGCTGGGTACCACTTAATTCTCATCTAAAAGATAACCAAGATAATTAGATAAAACATTTTTATTGTTTCTACCATCTCCAGCCTTCTCACTCACGAATACTTACTTTTTTCAAGCTGTTACAACTTGAGACTTGGTGTTACTTGCTTGAAGCAAAACAAATTCTTATAGAAAAACATTAAATTATGCCACAGATCTGTTTGAAAATCATTGAAAGTTACCTAACCATGCTATCTTTTGCAGATACTGTTAGTAAAATTAATCCATGTACAATGTGTATGTACTTAACTTACATTGTGGTTATTTGCCAATTGCATTGGCAAATATTCTAATGATGTAATGTTTTACAATTGAAAATAAGTGTTACGGCCTTGGAGCTATAGGCACTCCAAACATGAGAAGGCTAGTGGGTAAAACTCCCCTTAGGGTGAAAGCATCAACATTTCTTTTCTTAAAACAACAAACTAAAAAGACCTTCACAACATACATGTATTCAAACTATAGTCACATTAAATGTCTAATGACAATGTTTTAGAGAAATTAATACTTGTATTCTTCTTTATCTTCATTTGGTGATTATGTCCAAGCAGAAAATCAATCACCAGTGATCATTCAGCTGAGTGATGGGGAATTTTTTTGCAGCAAGGCCACAAAATCTCTAGTTACTGGCAAGGGCACATTAGGGTCAATGTGAACGTCGAGAAACATCTTGCGTTCCCATGGTGGCATCAGGACCCCAAGGGTGACTCGCATCTCTTGCACCTGTGAGCGAGTCACAGGTTTTGTGTCCCACTGCTTCATTAAGTTTGAATCCTGGCAACAGGTCAACTGAAAATTAAATATAAAAGTTGCAGTTAACAGACATTTTAATTTGGTGATGTTACAACACATGTATGTATGATAAATAAGTAATTAATTCTTAAGTTTTTTAAGTTATGCCCTCATAACAAAATCCAATGAAACAAAGCAGAACACAACACAAACACCACTAAACAAACAAACAAATTTCAATCTTTTTTTGACAGAGAGCTAAAATTCCCTAAGTCACTTAATCACTGGAAGACTAATTATTAGAATCCTCATTTTAAAGGACATTCCCAGAATTGTTCCATGGGATGTTCTTTGATTGATTGATTATTTTTAAACACTTTGTCTCACATCTTGCCTCTTAGGTACTGGTGTGATAGGATAGCTTCATGGTTGAGAACTGAAAACAGTTCTGAGTTACAGTTAACTGTGTAATACTATGTTACTTGATTACAAGTAGAGAAAAGACATTTATGGGTAAGGACACTTGCAGGTTAAACTATGGGTAGCTATGCAATATGACATGCGTAGTCAAGTACATCTGAAATTACATGCTTTCTGTAAATTTCAGAAAGGAAAAATCTTCATACCCCACAAAGTCCACACCACCCAAAGCAACAAGGGGGATTTCCATGGACTGTTATCTCTCCACGCACACCTGTCTCCCCACGCATCTCTACACTTCGTAGACAACGCAGTGGGATTGGGAGGTAATAAGTGGTATCATTGCATGACGTCTGAATGCTGTATCCTCCTGGCAGCTTCTTTGCATCACCCCACTCTATCAGGGATGTGCCTGCAAAGTAGTGGTGACGAAGTAGTTAGAGTGCTGAGCTTATAATTAATCTGCTGGTCCCAGTTCAAAGGGTTCCACCCTGCTACTCACTGGATTTGTCTGTGGTAAATGTGCCAAGTTCAACACCTTGGCTGCGCTTTGTGTTCAAAACCAACTGGTCTACTTCCTGTTAGATTCCATTTTTTAACAAAGTGCTTCTTCAATCATTCATTTGGACCCTGAAAAGCCCCACTAGGGTCATGGTCAATGAAGTATACATTCACACACATACATGTATAGGATCTTGTCCCTATTACATTGCAACATTCACTAATCCATATATATCCTTGTAACATTTTACCATTTTACCATTTTACCATTAACATTTTAGCAGAGAGGATTGAGAACCTTCAAGTTTGGCTCATGAAAATGTTTACCAATAAGTTGGGTTCAACACGCTAAAAATTGTGACTGATTCAGTTAACAAAATATTCACAGCTAAAAGTTTTGAGTTCAAAATTGAGAACTAGATTGTTCAAGGTAAAAATCAGTTTATTACAAAATTAAATCTTATTGTAAATTTGTCTTGAAGAAAAGGTCAAACTTACAGAAACTGTTAATTTAAAAACCAAATGTTGCATACTTCAATTTATCAGCCTCGTGAGCCAATTTGAGATCCCTTCGAAATTGTTTCACTTAAGAAAAATCTAATTAATGTTGTGAAAGTTACATGTATATGTACTCTCTTCCCCCTTTTTGTTAATTTATTGTTCTAGCTTAAAATGAGATCAAAATGACTCATACAGTACCTGTGCTGTCTCATACAGTGTAACTCTAAAAATGAAAAAATTAACCTACCCACAGCAAGTTGTGAAGACAAAAAGAGAATTCTCTTGTTCGTTAAAAGGCAAATGCCACCACTTCTCTGGCTAACATGCTTGAAATTTTCATCAGAGAACTGCACATGCGTGTAGTTCATGAAAGTGAACTGATTCAGAGCTTGAAAACTTTCCCCTTCATAGATCAGTCCTGCCAAGAGATCTCTATAACTCATATTTCCCTGTAGAGGAAAATAAAAGTAGAAAAGTGAAATTTAGAAATAATAACCTGTTTCTCCATAAGAGGCCCTATTTTGCTCACTAGAAGCTCATATGCTAACCTCACTTCACAAACCTTAAGAGACACAAATTGGCCCTGAACAGTGCGTTGAAGCTGATCCGCATTATGCCGCAATGTCCTTTGAAGAGTTGCTCCACTCATGTGTTTGGTGGTTAATGATGTCATAAGGCCTCTGGAAACTGGATCCAACATTGCATCTGTGAAGGCCTGTGGCTGAGTGACCACAGGAGGGGCAATGGTAGCTAAGAAATCCATGTCAACTGCAAATTAGGAAAAAAAATTAATATTGTCACCTTGGAATTTCATTGGTGCTTTGCATGCAGCTGTGAGCTTGATCTAAAGCTAGAATCATATGGACACATCTTTCACAGTACCCTTTCACTTGCAAGATCTGAAAGCTAATTCTCTAAACTGGTGGCCATACAAACAGTTGTTGCCTACTCCTGAGAATTTGGTGTTTTATCAAGACACTAGCCCCGAGCTGATAATTCTCTTAATTCCCAATAACTATCTACTAGACATTTAATTAAAAATTACAAGGAGACTTAATATGTTGGTCACTCCTGGGAGTTGAGTGGTTAATGAGGGGCCTGAACAGGTAAATTGGGAATTAGACATTTGTCCATATTTTCCTTTGTAAACAGGAAGGAAACAAATTAAAAATGTGATAAGTACAGAGATCATTTGGGTAGAATTTGGGCTTGGTTTTTAAATGGTATTTATATCCTCCATAGACTCTAGCTGGTCAACCAGAACCAGCTTGGACAGCCAAATAAGAAAAGGGGAAAGATCACTTTTGCACACAATACTCATTGTTCAAACATCAAACGTTTTACAAAATTAGTAAGGAGATAAATACTTCTCTACCGATAGGAATAAATTCAACTTTCAGAATAGCCAAATTTTGTTCCCAACAAACTTTCACTTCACCAACACAGACGTAAAGTTCGCAACGACTATGGACTA